AAAAAAAAAAAAAAAAAAAAAAAAAAAAAGAATTTCGTTGAAATGATATATGGGTTGTGTTTCGTTTTGTGTATTTTGAGCACAAGCACCAAAGCACTCCATTGTTTGCCATGTTGAAGGTTTGTTTAAGCTCACAGATGGCTTCCATGCACGAACAAAAATGGCTCGAATTTCAGAGCTGAAATGATACCCATTTTTGCATGTTCAGAGGACAAAAATCCCAGCTTTATACACAAATTTGCATCTTTTTTCGTTTTATCTTCATTTTTCAGTGAATTAATCAGTGGATTGATCATATTGATTGTTTATTTTCCTTTTATAGATCGGAATTGAATGCCAACTTAGTGCAGAGGAACTGGCTCACCAAATTCAGCAAACATTCTGCTAATTGAAGTCCAGAATTGAAGGAGGAGGAGGAGTTTTGGTTACTTAATTGTGTCTGCACAAAGAGATTCCTCTTAACAAATTAATGTAACTCTCTTTCTTCAATTCTTTTTTCAACTAAAATTCCTCTTTTCATTTATGTAATAGATAGATGCAATCTCATCCCTCTCATCATCAAAAACTACTAAGCTTCTTGTCTAATCATATTCACTGTATTAACATTCTCACTGCATCTTTTTATTTATTTATATATTGTTATATAGTTTTAAATCAGTGATTGGGGAGCACAGAGCATTAACATAAAGCTGAATCTATAAGCTATATGTATATATATATAGCTTCTGTGTTTCTGTGAAGCAATTTAATTTTCCCCCAATCTAGTGAAAAAGGGTGGGCCTTTCTACATTAAAAATAATTTTTTTAAAAGAAATATAAATTCTAGAAAGAAAAAAGAATAATCCCTAAAGTTTGGGCCCAAGGATTTGGTGGGCTTCCTCCTTGTTATGGCCCAAACATAATGGGCTTAGGGCTCATTCATGACCCCACCCCCAAAAGAAATTATAAGAAAAAAAAAATCCTTACTTGGAATGAAGTTATTCTCAAAACAAAACACTCCAAAACTATCAAAAGTTGTAAAAATAATAATTTGTAAGAACAGAAAGTATGAAAATTTGTTAAAACTTGATGGAGATTTGGTTGCAGAGTATCATTGTTGTTGAGTCTAGAAGGAAGGAGATTTAGGAGAAGAAATTTGTGTTGTGGAATGTGAAAGTTGGTTCCATTTGAAGCTCGCCGAATGGGAAGTCTAAGCCAGGAGTTGCAGAGTTTGAAGCTGAAGTTGGTGACGAAAAAATCTCAGAAAGCTCGGATTTGTTTGGCTGCAAATCCAACTTCTGATGATGTCCAATAAATCCTTCACTCAACCCACTTGAGGATGCAGAGAAATAGCTCAACCCAGATCCAGATGTTGTTGGGGACAAAAATGGAGGAGGAGGAGAGAACTCGGAAAAGTTGACGTTGGCTCTCAATGTCGACCCGGACTCGACACGGTCTGCAACCTCATAATTTGACGTGGGATCATAGTTAAAAGGATGGAATAATGTTGGATCATGAATTGTGTCAAGGTTTTCAGTTATGACTCTTAAGGATGGCCATGAGCTCAAGAGAGCATCGGGCGATGTTTGTTGGTTTTGGACCCTTTGATCAGGTAGTAGAGGGTGGTTTTGTTGCTGAAACTCTGTGCTTGCAGATGGAATAACTTGGGTGCAACTATGGGTTCCTCGGTATGTGATCTCGAAGATGTTTGGATCGTGATCGGACCGTTGAACTTGTTTGGTTGCAAGACAACCTTGGAGGTTCCTGTGTGTGCATCTGTAATACCCTCTGCATGTCAACAACAGACAATATAAGTATATAAAACATAAAGGGATCACCAAAATTGTAGTTTTACCTGGGATGTCTGGCACCAAGAATGCCTTTTTGACCATATTTCCTCCAGCAAAAGCCATCATCAAGAGACCCTTCAAGGGCCATCCCTGGACTAACTTGGAATTTCTGTGTCCAAGTTGGAAGAATGTTCCTGCAATTGCATCCAAAACTGTAATCTAGCAATAGTTTTAATCAGAAATAAGCTTTTTCTTTATGTTTTGGGTTAAAATGAGTTACCTTGTGCGGGAAGAAGCATTGGTATGATCATGGTCCTTGAATTCACGGTCAGAGTCTTCACTCCTTGGGCTTCCATTGAGAGAGGAAGGAGATTCAGATATTTGGATTCCATTAGAGCTGAGCAATGACAGTGCCTTTTCATATGAAGATAAGATCTTTTGAACTAATAGTTCACCGCCATCGTTCGAAACTGAAGAAGAAGAAGAAGAAGAAACAGCAGCAGCAGCAGCAGCAGCAGCAGCCATGGAAGATGACGATGGCCTCACATTGAGATGAATTTGGAGTTGCTTTGCTAATTCCTTCCCTTTAAGCAGCTCATTTTTCAGCTTCTTCTTTTGGTCCCATTCCCCAAAGCTGTCCATGATTAAAGTTCTGAAATTTGGAGAACAAGACAACAAAACAAAACAAAACTTGGGATTTAAGGCGGAAACCCAACAGGATCGTGTTAGAAAGCAAAGACATGAAGTGGGTGGTGAAGTTTGATGGAGGAGGAAGGGAATGGTGTGGGTATTTATGAAGAGGGCTGAGAAACTTTTTTGAAACCAAAGAAAAGAAGGGGAATAGTTTTAGAAGAAGGAGAAGGGTTCAGTCTTCGGTCGTCGATACATTGCTTGGAAATTGATTTCAGAGATCATCTCCGATTCTTGACCAATTCCACTTTCTTCTAAAACACACCCTAAATTAAAACATAAAAACACAATTATTTCCAATTTTGATCCAAACACAATCAAATAATGTGTAGATGTGGACCAATTCAAATGCAAATAATTGGAAGGTAAGAGGAAATCTTGAAAAATAAGGGGAAACGACACAAATACTATGAAATTGCAGAGTCAACCAGTTGACTTTTGGTTGTTTTTATTTTCTTAGCCGTGTGGAGACCATTCTAACATTCTTTTTATTATTATAATCTCTCTACACTTTTTCTTTCTTTATTCTTTTGATCCCTAATTAGAACACTTTTTCTTTCTTTATTCTTTTGATCCCTAATTAGAACAATAATTATGTTATACAAAGTTATTATGGTGTGTATTTGAAGAAAAACATGTGTGTTGTGTGAGATCCCAATCGGTTGGGGAGGGGATCGAAACATTTCTTATAAGTGTGTGGAAACCTCTCCCTAGTAGACGCTCCTTAGTAGACATGTTTTAAAACCGTGAGGTTGACGATTGTACGTAACAGGTCAAAACAGACAATATTAACTAGCGATGGGTTTGGGAGACAACAAATTCAACAAAAGGAGCAAGAGGGTTCATTCTAGAAGGTATATGGACCCATATAAATGTTTCGAAAGTTTAAGATATAAAATGGACATGAATGAATGCACATGACCAAAGCGAACGTTTTGAAAAGTATAGGAATCATATGACCAAAAAAAAAACGGAAGGTACAAATACCAAATTGTGATTTAAATCTCTTGTTATACCAAAAAAAAAAAAAAAAAAATTCAAACCAACCAAAAATGATATGAAAATACTGAGGAATTAGTTGACAATCATTAAGATATATGAACCTCCTCCTAAACATAGACCCTAACACTTTCATAACAACCATGAACGGCTCTAAGGAAAAGCTATTACATTCAAATGACCTTATAGTAAACGGTATATGACTAACATATAAAGTAAGTCGTTCTTATCTCAACATGATCTATCAGAAAATTTCAATTGGATTGGGTATCCCCATTATCAATTTTTTTTAAAAGAAAAAAAAAAGAGATAATTGTATGGTTGGCTTTTTAAGCAACGTGTAGAGCTAGGAACCAGTACCAAAGTTGGGTCCCATTAAGGTTGATGCTCCAAACCCAACTAGAACCACATGTCTGTCACTTGCATCATCCATTAACTTCACATAAAATATCTTCTCCTCCACTCCTCGCCTGCCACGTAATATTCACCCTCCCTCTGATAGTCGCCACGTCACCCTCACAATTTTAGTCCACTACCCTTTGCCTACGTTGCTGCTTTCTTCACCGTTGATTGACCACAAACCCCCTTCATCACCGTCCATTTCTGTCAATTACAAAGTGAGATTGTTTGTGGACACCAAAATTCATGTATTTAGGAGGAGACTGTCATTTTAAGGTTGTTCTCTCTAATCCTGGGAAATCAGAAGGAAAAATTGAAGAAGAAAAAACCTGTGCTTTACCTTGATCTTTGAAGGTTTGTGTTTCTCAACTTGGTTTTCATTTTCTGTTTGTTTGATTAAGGATACAGCTGTAGTTGAATCTTCTGTTTATTTTACTGAGGAAATTCTAGAGAATCTTGCTCGTTGTGGGAAAATCAGATAACTCCTTGAACTTGAGCTTTTAGGTGCAAATGGTTGAACTTTTTGTGTGTTTATGAGAATTTTCTTTCAGAATAGGATCTCCCACAGTAGACCCACCTGAAAAAACAAGTAAAGTTCCAAGCTTTGTAGTCCCAGTTCATTCAAACAGTAAAGAAGATGAAGTTAGGGGCAGAAAGGACTTCTTGAAGTTACTTTTAAGGAAAATGGTGTTAGCTATGTACTAAACTAGAAAAGTGGTGTTTATTTGAGCTGTGATGCCTATTGCTGTATGTGCACAGCAAAATGGATGTCTTCTATGGTTTTTGCTAATGACTTGTTTTGTGAATTGCCCATGAGGGAAATTTCAGTCCTTTCTCTTGTGAATACTTTTGGCCAATGCATTGTTTCAAGTCTAGGATTTGAGTGATAAGAGTTGGCAGTTACAATTTATTGCAGGTTGCTGGAGCTTCCATATTGATTTCGTTTTCTCTTTTTGAAGGCTACTTGGTATGGGAGTTGTGACCGTTTCAAGCTCGGCAGCACGAACTCCTTTTCGGCTAGGTGGAAAATTTTCCAATAACATTTCTGCATTGAAAAGACCATCGATTGTCGCTTTTAAAGTAGATAAGCACACGAACACTACTTTGGTCTCACCCCACGAGCAAGTAACCCTGCCTGTGGAGAGTAATAACAGAAACCAGAAAAGAACAGGAAAAAGTAGCAAATCTTTAAAGAGAGTTAAAGCTGTCTTGATCGATGAAGCTACTCCCTGTACTTCGGATGTGGATTACAATGAGGCTGCTGCTAAACTTGAAAACATTTTCAAGCTTAGCCCTGTGACAGAGGATACTGATATGGAAAATGAAGATGGCAGACCGAAAAGAGGACAGCAAAGGAGGAAAAAGTTAGGCAAGAGACCATGTGATGGTGTAGTCAGGAACCAGACTAAGAGGATTAAGCGACTCGATCTCGACAAGAGGATAGCATTGAAAAGTAACAAGGAAGGCAAATCAGCTCCTTCATTAAGTAAACAAAAAGATACCAAAAGTGAAGCTGATGAGATTGATGATCTTGTAAGAAACTACTCTGCTTCTACTGATTTGGTTAGTTTAGACTGGAAAAAGATGAAGATTCCTCCAGTTCTTCCTTCATCAGAGCATACCCGTTTGTTCAAGTTGGTTCAACCAATGAAGGTGAGGCTTAAGAATTCTGGTGCTGGAAACTGATTTGAATGGAAGTTTGAATAAAAGTGATTTTGTTCACTGCCAAATAATGTTTTCCTCTATTAGGCACTTATTCAAGCACAAGAAGAACTGCAGAAAGGGTTGGGAAGAGAACCAACTGAAGGAGAATTGGCCAATGCGACAAATATGAATGTAATTCAAGTAAGGAGACAGTTGGAGGTTGGTCGTGCTGCCCGAAACAAACTCATCAAGGTAAGACTCACTTCCTTCAGGCTTCTGTGATACCATGACTGCCTTTTCTTTCTCCATGAAAATAATTTACTTTCAGTTCTTATCCATCGGCCATGGAGTTTATCAACGTACAAGTTTATATGATTGATGTGTTTGTCATATTCCGTTCAATCAAAATGTAAAGGTTCCTTTCCTAGGGTACATACTGATCTTCCAATAACATATTGGAGTGCAGACAGATTGAATGTAGTTGTAATCAACTTATGATATAATGCACTAGGATAGAACTAATGGTTAGGTCTTACATCTGTTGCAGCATAATCTCCGCCTTGTATTATTTGTGATCAACAAATACTTTGAAGATTTTGCAAGTGGCCCAAAATTTCAAGACCTTTGTCAAGCAGGAGTCAAGGGACTCATTACAGCGATTGATCGCTTTGAGCCTAAGAGAAGATTCCGCCTATCAACTTATGCTTTATTTTGGATAAGGCATGCTATTATTCGGTCAATGACTCTCTCAAGCTTCACACGTGTCTCATTTGGACTCGACTCGGTTAGTGCTTATAGTACTTCGCCTTTTCCATTCCTTTTTCTTTTATCATGGCAATGAACTACTTGCGTTCCTTAATCATCATTCTACTTTCCTTCATGACATCATATTACTGTTGCTAAATGTAAAACAACCAAAGAAGTTGGACCTTAAATAGAGAAGAAACAAAGAAAAATAGAATAAGGGAATATTTAAACTTTGAAAGAAAACTAAAATGTTATATTGAGAGTTTGATCTCGAGAGTCTCCAAGAAATAATTTCATAAGAAACAATATAAGATAGATTCTAGCCACCGCCTGAAGGGGAAGGAAGGTTCTCTCTCCATAGTTGTTGTTCAAAGAAAAAAGAAGCTATGAATTTCGATTGACTGAAATAGAGAAGAAAGTCGTGCTAGAGTAGCCAAGATTTTTGAAAGCAAGCTCTACGATAAATCATCTAGCTCCCATTTGTGGTAGACGGCAATTAAAAAGCTGAATTGAATCTGTTCACCTTGTTATGTTTTGAATCTAAATCATCGTCTAAATGGTTCTTGCTGCACATGAAGGCATGGGTTATTGAGACTGAACCTTTTCTTATGCAGGTAAGAGTTGAAATTCAAAGAGCTAAACTTGAGTTATTATGTGAGCTTCATAGATTGCCAACAGAGGAAGAGGTAATCGCAAAAGTTGGCATCTCACCTGAGAGGTACCTAGAAGTAATGAGGGCTACAAAACCAGTTTACTCTCTCCATTCTAGGCACTCAACTACATCAGAAGAGTTTATCAGTGGGATCGCTGATGTAGAAGGTACTGGAGGCGACAACCGGAGGCAATCAGCTCTTCTAAGGCTTGCTCTCGACGATGTGGTAATTTTCCCCCCTTTAAATCACTAATTTAACTTGTGAAATATATTTGGTAAAATGTCTTCACATCATGAATTCAAGGTGAAAGACATCTTGGCTACATCTGCTATGCTTGTTTAAAATGCAACTGACTTGCACTGCACTACACTTATTCTTCACAAATCGATGTAAAAGTAGGCTGTTGTACTGACATGGACCTCTCCTTTTGGTAGATTTCTTAGGCATTCCTGACTTGGGATTGCTTTTAACTCCAATTGTTGATCATATCAGTAGATATGACCCGTTTAATCTGCTGCATTTTGCATGGGATGCCTTGAAATCCCCTATATTGCTGATATTTTGATAATATGTTCCTAAATTTAAATTCTTTTTCCAGCTTGATTCTCTTAAGCCGAAAGAGAGTTTGGTGATCCGACAAAGATACGGTCTTGATGGCAAAGGAAACCGAACATTAGGTGAGATAGCCGGAAATCTAAATATTTCAAGGGAAATGGTTCGAAAGCATGAAGTGAAAGCTCTCATGAAGCTCAAGCATCCTGCAAGAGTGGATTACCTTCGTCGGTATTTAATCTGAACTGATGAGAACATCAAGCTTTGTTTCAATGATCTTGTACTCCCGATTAATTCCTATCGCCAAAACATCTCAAGGGGCAAGAGATTTGTACCATATATTTGTAACTACTTGAACATAGAAACCTCACCCCATATGATTCTTATTTTTAAGGACATACAATTGGCAGCTCTGCAACTTTCTTTGTAGGAAGAAGGCAGTTTTATAGGAGAAGAATAGCAACTAAAAGACAGGAATGGTTATACCCCCTCTTGTATACATACTATGTGATATAAATAAATTATACTGTTTATAAATTTCAACCTTCGACTGTTTTATAAGTTTTTCTCTACAAAGAGGATTCAAAGGAAGAAAAACAGAGATAGTGGTTTTCAGTTTCATTTCTCCTCATCTCTAGAGGAAGAAACTTCTTCAGCAATCAGTATGAACTGGAGAGAGTGGTCGCAACTTATTCTTTTGAGAGATTTCGTAGGTGCATTCAATATGCAGACATCCCAATTCCATAGATTTTCCTTTATCAATCCCTTCTTAGAGGAAATGATCCAATGATAGATAGATCTAGAAGTTCAACCATTCTATAGTCATATTTAAAATGGCAGAGAGACTAGTATGATAAAGAAAAATATATACATATAACAGAATTCCTCAGGTATTAGTTACACTATGTTAGACATATTTGAATAATTTTTCAAATAGCAACAATCCATGCACAGGTTCATCTTGATCCTCGTCTTCTCGCTCAAACTGTCATTTGTGGTTTTCATCTCTTTGTTTCATTTGAAATTTTCTTGCCTTCCCAAATGGGGATTTAAATGTTTCCCAAGAATTCAGTGGTTTCTAAATTTGAAGACATCATCATAATTAACGAAATAGGATTTGGGTGTTAAAGAATAGACTTCATGGAGTAGACATTACATGTCATGAGTTAGATTTATGTTCAAATATATACGTACAAGGCCTTATAAATGAAATTAATGTTCAAAACTATACGTGAGAGAGTGTTGAGGACACATGAAAATATTAAATTTACAACCTAACACATCGATTAGATCTGACTTTGGATCGAATACAAGCAATCCATTATGTCAGTAACTCGTTGGAAGGATTTTCCAACTGAAAAGGAAGGTTGTTAGGAATATGGAATTTGTAAGCTGCACACTACACTCTTCTTTCCCTTTTTGGAGAAAATATTACTTCTCATATAAGCTTCATGACTTTCTTTGCTTTTTCAGCTATCTCTGTTTCATGAGTAGTTATGCCACTACCGATTAAAATAATGATGGAGGTCACTTTATTCACAATACAACTATACTATAATCCAACATAAGCTTTGACTGAATGGGTGAAACTTGGATGCTTATAAAATTGTCATTGAAAAGGACGAGAACATGAGTTGGCTTGAAAGGCTTGGCCAAGTTCATATCACATGGAGTAAGAAGGCAAGGTCTGTGAGTTCACTTATTTCCGAACACAAGTTAATTAATCATATGAACTACATAAACTCAAGCCTCTCATATGCACCTCTTAGGTTATACATAAAATCAAACCATCAGAAGTCCAAACACATGGGCCATATAAATAAACACAAGCTAAACATGCCTAAACCTCTAAACTCTCTCTTTGGGAAACCCAAGGTTGATTTTTCAATTGCAAAGCGCAAACTTGAACTTATCAAATCCAGGAATCGAACATTCCTTTCAACAGTTGCATAGAGTTTTCAACATGATTTAACGAAGAAACTATCGCCAAATCAAAGAAATGTCAAAACATTTTTTAAGGTTATATGGCCCTGGTTTGCAGATCCGCTACACTCCAGCCAACATTACGTGAAAAGTAAAATATCCACCCAGAGACCGACAATACTCGAATCCAGATATGTTTCGTCCCAGTTTCACTATCTCAAACTGGTAACCAAAATAATTAACCAGTAAAATCATTGTCCCATTGTGTGTGTACTACCATAAATCTTACACTACCTAGCCAAAATCCTGGAAATCGAAGAAGAATACTCCTATACTTCTTACTCATGAATGGGTGTTGAATTCCTTTGTAAAGACATAGGGTGTTGAGTTCCTTTGTAAAGACATAGGGTGTTGAGTTCCTTTGTAAAGACATAGGGTGCTTCAACCACGAAAGAGAGCACCATATAATTTAAAGACAGCTGACCAGCAAAGAGAGCAAGTGGGAAATGTGTATTGAGAGAGTAGTACAACTGCCAATCTGGCTCCATAACAATGAAGATTCATATGCCTTTGTGCCTAACATCACAAGCAAATCTTGCCCCCACCACTTTCCATCCATAACAATCTTTAAAGATTTCTATCAAACTATAGGCTCAGTCCAATCCTGAATAGCAAGCCCTTCTGAAACATCAGCAAGAGATTTGAGATTGCACTTGATCAAGGTCTCTACAACAAAGCAAGTCTCATCCTTTGTGTTTCCTTCAGGAGTGTCAACCACAAATGACTCAACGACAAGAGTACCTGGCCTTCCTTCTATGATCTCTGAATGGAGGGAAATAATTGAAGAGTAGTTCTGGAAGAAAAGGCAAAGAAAGTTAGTTGACTTATGCAGGACCAATAATTAGAAATGGCAATGACGGCGTTTTCCATGCACTATCTCACTTGGAGACTTTTCTCATGTTCTACTGGGCAATCTTATAGCAAATAGAGGGTGATGATTAGTTTCAGTAAGAGATATCTACCCAAGATAACTGCAAATTGTTCAAATTCCTAGCCGAATATGTAATCCAGAGGCCTACCCCCACATCGTGCAATGGGAAAGAATCAAATTACCACCAGAACACTTGATTATCTGATTTGAATTAAAATTTGCCCAAGCAGGTAAAGCAACACATGAAGAATGTTCAGAGATTTGAGCTGGTCAAGAATGCAGAGTTTCATCATGTGTTAAGATCAAGAGTAATTCCCCGAGTTTGATCTATCCATGAGTCTACCAACTTATTCTCAGTTAGGCACCCTAAAGTTCCCCCATAGAGTTTAGCTAAAACCATTATGTTTTCAGGACTATAAATTACATAAAGTTGGTAGGCAATGCACATCATGAATATGACTAATGCATGAAATCAATTTAAAATTGAGAATAAATATTTTTTTGGCAAAGCCTCATATTAGTAAATAGCAATCACTTAAAAGAAAAAGAGAAGCATACCCTAAGCCTGTGATCACCACCAACTATCCTGAAGCTAAGGATATGTTTGTCATCATCAAGAAGTTCCAACCTTTCTGTGCTTGTGGTGGCTGGGAGCCCAGATTTGACATCAACTTCTCTAATACTTCCAATCTCAAGATTCCCCTGCACTACACACCAGCTTATAAATGGCTTGTACTTTTGGGGTTGATCAAATCTTCTCACCAAAGACCAAACCTGATGAGAATTAAATTAGTACATGTATGTGCCCAGATAAACCAGCTGCACGTGATAGAAATGTTAAAAAAAAAACGAAGTTTGAAAAACATGATGGTGCAGTTATATATTAGTTGAAAATAGATTTCCATGTTGGTCAAATTTTGTTTTCTCCAAATTTTGTTTCATTAAGCTAGTCTTTCAGTTTGACATGTACATTTCCAGAACCCTTATATGCGTACTATTTTTCCAATGTCCTAGCAATAATAAACCACAAAACCAAGTTATTTCCAATGGATCCAAAAAAAAAATATATATATATATATATATATATATATTAAGCGGCTGAATACTTGGAACTGGTTTAGCTCAGCTGAAACCTCTATTTCTTCACAACGAAAAATCATTTTCAAATACTGTAACCGGTTACATATTCAAAACTTTGGCAACAGAGTTGACAAAACAACTGTCAGACTACAAAAACAAGTAAACAAGCCACAGATCTACGTGGTTGCCGGCACTTGACAAAAGAGGCAAACAACTTACAAAGCGAAGGAAGGAAAGTGTTGAGAATAGATTGACAAGATTAGATTTACCTTAACCTATGAACTTAAATTTTTTATCTTGGGGGTAGTAGCAAAAGAAATAAACAATAAAAAGGATTAGCACATAGATCAGAGTAAAGGATGCGACAAAGAAAACACATGAATGAAAAAAGTAAAGAAGGTACAAACTTGAAGGCAGAAAACGCCTAAGAAAGAGTAATAGTTGGATCCACCCATGAATTGAGATTTGAGAATGTATAAATAAGCACGTCAAAGAATAACAGAGAATTGAAAAAAATGAAGAGAGAAGAATGTATAATGTTTATGTAAAAGCTATAGCGAAGGACACAAATTTGACATACAAAAAAGAAGCATATGGAAAGAGGAGGAGAGGAGGGGGTAGTTACAAGAGGAAGGGGAGCTTTAATGTGCTTGATTAGCAAGGAGGTGCACTGATTCTCAGCAGGCTCGTGCCTGTGATGCCTCCCAATGCACTCCCTCTCCAAGCTGCTAAATCCACCATTCCCACTCATTTCGGAAATTTACCTGAGCTAGCTAGAGCAAAAGCCACAAATCAACAGAAGCTCAAACCTAAAGAGGGCTCATGGTATCCGTACAAGGATCGGATCGGAAACAGAGTCCAATAGGCAATAGGTCTCACGGGAGTTGCACCGGAGACGACAAAACGACGGCAAAGAGGTTGGCCGCGAGCAGACAAGAATGAAGAAATGGGCTCTCGAAGTCTCTGTACCACAAAATATATACGCATACCAACAGAAAAAAGCTGAAATAATTATTTATTATAAGATGGAGATAAATGGATGGAATTTTTGGTTACTTGTTTTAGAAGTGGGGACCGCCAATTTGTTGTGCCTAACCTATATTTGTACACTACCCCCAACCACTCTCACAACTTTATTATTATTAACCCATTTTCTATTTAGTCTCTCCCTTCTAAAATTAATTTAATTAAATTTTATTAATTTGATCTTCAAACAAAAATGGATTCTTACACATTTTTAATCCCACAAATTTATAGTGAACGAAATATAGGAAATATATAGACGAATATTTTTTTAAAAAAGAAGGATAGAAACGTAATTCTCCATTATTTCAGAAAAAGAAAACTCGTTCTTTTTTTTTCTATTTATTGAGTTCTCGTTTAAAAAAAATTAAAAAAATCCCTACCCCTTTGTTGTTGTTCATGATGTTACTAATCAGCATCCTCCACAATAGTAAAATATTGTCCTCTTTGAACATAAAATTTCATGGTTTTGCTTTTATTTTCTTAAAAGGTCTCATGCTAATGAAGATGTATTCCTAACTTATAACCTCATGATTATCACCTTAATTAGCCAATATGTAACTCCCTCCCAACAATTAGCCAATATGTAACTCCCTCCCAACAATGCTTTCAAATCAGATTATGATAATTGAAAGAGTGATGATAGGGTTGGTTGAAAATTTTCTGTAAACTCTTGAACAGAACTCCAAGTTTTGGGATGGGTTTGAACCAAAAGAAGTAGAAGCATTTAGAGGAATTAAGTACAGGCACTCTCAAAGCTTTATTCTTTTCTTCTATACACAAATGAGGCAGGTGCACATCATTCTCATAAAAGGAGTACTAGTCTATAAGCATTTCTCACCAAATTGAGGGACTCAAAGCCATTAATCTCAACAAAAAAAAAAAAAAAAGAAGAAGAAGAAGCTAATTCCACGTTCTGGGGTTCAGAAAAATTGACTTGTGAGAGATTCCAAAGTTCCAATGCCTCAAACAGAGTATTACACCTTCCTACAAGCTATACAAAACATGTCAATTCAGAATGTTTGTTCCTGTTTTTTCCCCCCCACAAAAGATCTACCAATTTGTTAAGTTTCTCCAATATTGACGGTTGCTTAAAAAATCAGCAGACGAGAATCTTCTACAAAAGGAATGGATTTTTACTATACTAGAAAGGTGCTTACTCCAAAGCCATTGGATGCATGGATAAACCCACTGCAATTTGGCTCTGAGTGTGGAATCTCAGTTTTTCTAGACGATCATCACCGCTACTAAAATTCCTAAGATCACAGTTGATTAACAAGCACACAGCAGGCACTCTAATATCATTGTAGAATGCACGAAAATTTGTTTCATTCCAACAATTAAACCACAAGCTAACCTACTAGTGGACTATATATAATAAACTTCAGGCTCATGTGGGTTTATTATATCTTGCATCACTTAACTAACACGAACAAGGGACTACTTGGGACTTGGGAGCTCTTCCTTTAAAAATTGTTTTCACTCATTTTCTATAACAATAGAACACAGTTTGTTTTACGAACCAATCTAGTATCATTCTTAAAAGAAATTATATAAAAGTAGTTTGAATCTCTCTCAAACAAGTCTTATTCCTTTTTCTTTGTTTAAGTGATTTAGTGCAGAGGTGGCTCAAGGTGATCCGTGAACAAAAAGAATACCATATCAGTACTTTACTTTAAAATAAGATATCATAGCCATTTGTACATAAAGAAAACTACCAGAATCACTTACTTAGCTGCATGATATCACTCCATCATTCTCCAAATCTTTGATATCAGTATCAACGAAAGTGTCGAGCAGTGGATGTCTCCAAAGGTCTTTATCTTTTAAAATCAGAACCTGAGTAATTTAATTAGTGAGATGGGTCATCCAACCTTCAAGCTTTAAGTCAAAACAAACCAATTTCTATTCACTGAAGCAGAATCGAATAACCAAGGAGTTCCTAAAATATAGCATCCAATGAATGAAAGGAACTGACGTTTGTCAAATTGTTGGACAAATCTTTTCACAAGAGAGTTCAACAGTTTTTAGTAAAACTAACAATTTTTCTGCCAAATGATTAGAGAACTATAATGTTCTCCTCCGAGGAAGAAGACACGGCTGACACTACTATGAGTTATCTACGAAAGCTTTTATGTATAAAAAGAATAACGTTTTTTTACGTAAAGAAAACCCCACAGAAAGAATCAAAAACCTTCAGTTCAGCTTTACGCACAACCAGGGATTCCACCAATATCCATCATTGTTTAAACTTTCTTTTCAACCAGCAAAAACATCGCCCAGTTAGATAAATAATCAAGCAAAACAAATAAACAATCACTTTCCATGGCAAAGAACAGAACAATCAATCTACATTACCCTACATAAAGCATCTTCTCATAAGAAATGGTTATCCTGTGAAGTAAAAGAAGTGATAGATACCTAATCAATAGAATAAAGGAGGGGTAAAGGGTGTCTGTTACTCTGTTCTTCCTCTTGGGTTTCGTCTTTTTTCTCTTTGGTTATCATCTTTCCCGTGGGCTCATATCCTGCGAAAGAGTAGGCCAAATCATTCGAAAATTGGAATATTCAGCCCACAAAGAGGGACCGATTATTCCGACCATTCATTCAGAACAAAGTATGCAAAAAAATAGAAACGCGGCCGCTAAAACCCCATCCCCTCGTCCCCCCCACGCACAAACACTTCAGGACCATTTTCCTCTCTGCTTTATTCCCGAAATCCAAATTCCCGATACGTATCGGCATTTGGATAAACCAAATGGATTGGTTGTCGCAATATGTCGTTTCTCATCAGAGTGCTGCCTGTGCGACGCTTTCGAAATGAGAAGTTGATAGATCAACAGAGTGAAGAAATTTTCAGGCAGTGAATCGTTACAGTTGCCGCGTCAATTTATATAAAGGTATGAACTTACGAACGGAAGCTTCCCGCTATACCAATTCCAAGACTAACCCAGATTGAATAGCGCTGGCCCACTGGAAAGAAAACCCCCATGGGCCTTACTACCACAAGCCCATATTCAGTTGGACTGGCTTTAATAGCAATTCAAGGAAAAACATAAAATTCAGTGTCACCATATTTGTAAACTTTTTAAAATTAAAACAATGCTGATAATTTATATATATTTTCGGTGGGCGGCGGCGCGTGGGAGAAAGAAAAGGAAGGGTTAGGTTTTGTTGGCGGCCACCGGCGTACGCCAAGGGTAAAAGGGTTTCACAATTTAGTTAAAAATCTCATTGATATATATATACGCTCGGACTGTGTTTACTTGAGAATATTATAATTAATTTAAATAATTACACTTAATTTAGTATAACTATAGTGTTTTGAGAATATTATAATAAATTTGAATCTACGATCTCATAAAACAAGAACGAGAGGCGTAGAGAGATAGGTAGGAGTACTAGTACATATATTAAATATATTGATGTAAAATAAAGGATGGGTAATTAGTAAAAGGATTTGGTAATGCATCTCTGTTATTACCAAAGCCATATGCACTTTGGTGGATGCTTAAATAACCCAAATATTTTACTAAAAAATCACCCATTCCATTTTTAAATATTAGGAGATGGGGTTGTAATTGAAGGGGATGTGGAGTTACTCCATCTGGCCAGCCTTAGCAAAAAAGCAAGAACCTCCGATGGGTCCTTCAACGAGTAGGAAGCGTTTGTGTGCTTTGGAATGGATGCCACGAGTATCGCAATTCCTTGTCCTTTCCTTTGTATTACCTACAAAACTCATACTCATCCCACTTCAGTTTAATACCCATTTCAATATTCATGAGTATCAACAGCATCCACCTTTTGCATATGCTTGCTTACCTTGAAAGCGTCCTCGTCCGTTTGATCATCGCCAATGTACAACGGAACCACATCGTCCGTGTCGTTATGTCCGAGAGTGTGCAGATAATACTCCATTGCATGCCCTTTGTTCCAATTAATGGTCGGCCTTATTTCCATAACCTTCAAATGTTCATACCATATTAGCAAGGAATATGGCTTCATTTTCAACAAACAAAATCATGCTTATTTTCAGGATTTATGCACCTTTTTGCCCTGCGTTACATGAAAATCAGGATAGTTTTCCATAACAGTCTCTACCTTCTTTTCTAATTTCCCCAAATCCTGCCATAAGTCAATAATACATCGATTCGATTCCTTGATCTTTATCCATATCACATTCATACACATACATATCGACAAAGATCGAGATCTTTACCCTTTCGTGCACGTGCCGAAAGTGTACAGAAACACAAAACGTATTATCCTCCACCAATGCACCTTCGATCTTTCTACTTTCTTCCTCTAATGCGCGTTTTATCTGCCACGTTTTAAATGTTTTCCATATTTCAAACCTCGTACCATAAAAATTATAATAATAATAATAATTTGATTTTTCCGACAAGAAATTACTTGTTGAATTTCTGGTAAAAACTTCTTGGCTGGTTGATAGGAAACCCCATTAGCCTACAATCAAACGTATAATGTTACATTAACGCTGACAAATGATATACGTCGACATGTCGAAATATTATAATTATAAAACTAGGATAACCTCATTGTCCGAATTTGGAGCCATAATGTCTAATCCATGGCTCCCAGCATAGTGCAGATTCCTCAATTTCACGAACTCCTTTACCTGAAAATTTTAATTAATTTCTTTAATATATATATATAATATATATATATATATATAAATAATTAATTACTTTTTCTCGGCTTCTTCCGCTTATTATGGCTGTTGGAAAGCATTTTGCCACTTCTCTTACAGCTTCTCTCATCTGCATTTATACATACAGAAAAATATATAAATAAAACAATAAAGAGACTAAATTAAAAGAATCAAATCCAAAAAGATATAGGTCAACCCTTAAAAATTATTAATAATAAAACCCATATTTTTAGTGTAGAAATTCAAAGAACAAAGAAAAAACTTAATCATTTTATAATTTCTAAATAAGGTCAAACAACTAAGCAAAAAAAAGAAAAAAAAAAAAAAAAAAA